TAGCAGTAGCACTGAACCTAGTTTTCTGGCTTTTAATGATCCAGTGAAGCTACCCTATGCACTGATGGCAAGCGTCTAGACAGCAAGTCCCCTACACACAAACCTTCAAGTTGCAAACTTTCAAAGATGTGAATGTGCTTGCCCTCCATCTCTTACTGCCGATGGTCCTTGAGCTCCACCATCCACTCCCTCCTCTCCCTACTCCAGTCAGTAACTCTTCTTGCCTGGTCACTGGATGCCAGCTCTTGGACTACACTACTATATTTTTCAAGGTACTCTAGTATAAGATAAAAAATGATTTATTTATTGTTTTTTAAAATGTATTATTTGTGTGAAAAGTATTATAAACCTACTACAGTACAGTAATAAATAGCAGATTGTGTTAGTTGGTTACTGAGGCTAACTATGTTGAACTTATGCAAAACCTGGACTTAACAAATATGCTCTTGGAATAGAACTAATTCGTATGTAGGGGACTGACTGTACCAAAGGGAGAGCTTCAGTCATATCCTTCTCCTGATCAGAACCTTTCAGTGGTTTCTTATTATTTGCAAAATAACATCCAAACTGCTTAAATGGCTCTAAGATACTCTTGGGTTGGGTCATAATTCAGCTAATATTTATTGAGTGCCAACCAGATGTCATGCCCTGTGCTAGACACCGGAGACATAGCAGCTGAACAGGACGCAGCCTGAACTTTCTACTCTGAGAGAGGATATGGAATAGAAAACAATCTCATGTATCACAGTGTGAACCCTGGGTGTGTGTGTCAGGGGCCATGACAGAATTAGGAAATGCTCTGAGATAAAACAAACTGTGGAAAATTCTTAAAGAGATGGGAATACCAGACCACCTTACCTGCCTCCTAAGAAACTTGTATGCAGGTCAAGAAGCAACAGTTAGAATCAGACATGGAACAACAGACTGGTTCCAAACTGGGAAAGGAGTTATGTCAAGGCTGTATATTGTCACCCTGTTTACTTAACTTATATACAGAGTACATCATGCCAGATGCCAGACTGGATGAAGCACAAGCTGGAATCAAGATTGCCGGGAGAAATATCAATAACCTCAGATATGGAGATGACAGCACCCTCATGGCAGAAAGCAAAGAGGAACTAAAGAGCCTCTTGATGAAAGTTAAAGAGGAGAATAAAAAAGCTGGCTTAAAACTCAACATTCAAAAAACTAAGATCATGGCATCTGGTCCCATCACTTCATGGCAAATAGGGAAACAGTGTAAACAGTGACAGACGTTATTTTCTTGGGCTTCAAAATCACTGCAGATGGTGATTACAGCCATGATATCAAAAGACGCTTGCTCCTTGGAAGAAAAGCTATGACAAACCTAGACAGCATATTAAAAAGCAGAGACATTACTTTACTGACAAAGGTCCATCTAGTCAAACCTATGGTTTTTCCAGCAGTCATGCATGTGAGAATTGGACCATAAAGAAAGCTGAGTGCCAAAGAATTGATGCTTTTGAATTCTGATGCTGGAGAAGACTCTTGAGAGTCCCTGGGACTGCAAGGAGATCCAACCAGTTCATCCTAAAGGAAATCAGTCCTGAATATTCGCTGGAAGGACTGATGCTAAAGCTCCAATACTTTGGCCACCTGATGCAAAGAACTGACTCATTAGAAAAGACCATGATGCTGGGAAAGATTGAAGGCAGGAGGAGAAGGGGATGACAGAGATGGCTGGATGGCATCACCAGCTCGATGGACATGAGTTTGAGCAAGCTCCAGGAGATGGTGAAGGACAGGGATGCCTGGCGTGCTGCGGTCCATGGGATCACAAAGAGTCGGACACAACTGAGCGACTGAACAGAAAAGGGGATCAACAGGACTTCCCTGGTGATCCAGCTGTTAAGACTCAGTGCTTCCAATGCAGGAGGAACAGGTTCACTCTCTCAGGGAAGTAAAATCCCCCATGTGGTGCAGCCAAAAGGAAAACACATGAGGACCAGCACCTCACCCAGACTGAGGCGGGGAGATGTGGAGGAAAGGAAGGCGGAGTGGAACCAGGGATATGGGGACGGGAGAGTCAGGGAAAGTGTTCCTGGAGAAAGTAGCAGAACTTGAAGAGGCAAGCAGACAAGGGTGAGGGGTGATGAGTAATGATGAACAGTGTTTCAAAAGAAAACTCTTCTCCAAGGTCCTCCTTCACATGAACTGGTCTCACCTCCTCCTCAGCACCTTTCCCTCCTGGCCTCTTGCTCACCTTTCAGAGCTTTCAAAGTCTGGCTCAGCTAGCACACAACTGAGCCTCATCTGACAACCCGGCCGGAAATCACTTCTCTCTCCCTTTACTCCCTCAGCCAGCTCTCTTGTCCTCTGGCATGGAGCTGCTCAGGGAACACTCACAGAATAAATTTCTGCTGCTCCCTCCGAACCGAGGCTATGGCAACCATGTCCCGACTAATGCACCTGCCTAACTCTGCCTCTTCCATCTCCAGGCAGGCTTCCTCACGGCCACCCAAACCCAAGTTAACGCTGCTCCAATGACCCGTCACGCAGTTCCATCCTGCACGTTCCAGAGCAGCCCCGCTCCTTTTCTGAGGCCCATTCGTTCTGCTCTCTCCTTCCCCAGATGCCCCTGCCTTCAGGTTCGGTGTGATCCTGCCCTCAGTGGGGCGGCGGGCTCCCTTCCAGCCTTCCACACGGCTCTCCCTGCAAACACCCGACAAACTGGCAAGGATGTACTGACAGGTTTGGTATGCCTCTGCTCCCAGCTTTAAGGAAAGTTGAGAAGTCACTGGAGAAATAAAAAATCAGCAACAAAAAGAAGCTCCTGACAATGTTTCTATGGCAGCCTGGATAAGAAGGGAGTTTGGAGGAGACTGGACATATGTATATGTATGACTAAGCCCCTTAGCTGTCCACCTGAAACTATTACATCACTGTTAATCGGCTATACTCCAGCACAAAACAGAAAGTTAAAAAAAAAAGGGCGTACCTGAGATATGAGGGGAGGGACAGGCAGATTTACAAAGAGGAAAGCATGCCCAAGGTCTAAATCAAGTCAACTTAAAACACATCATTGTGTTTTCCTGTGTTTGCCCGACATGAATGACTTCTCCTGAACACTGATGAGCTAGTGTACTTTTCCCTCCAGATGGGTAACTTTGCCCCTTTGAGTCTAATCTCTGAGTTTCCACTGGAACAAAAAAGGGAAGTGTTTTTGCATTAAATTAAAAGGAACTCTCAGGTTCCTTTCAGGTTGGTTTTATTTATTTATATCGTTGTTTTACAGTTTTCTTATCCTGAGGCTACAGAGAGAACCAATGATGGAAGATGAAATGTTTCAAGAATGTCTGTGTCCCTGCTGAAACCTTCACAGTGCCCTGGTTTTCAGCTGTAGAAGTTTTCAAGTTTCCATGAACATCTGTACTTCTGGGGGAAACTTCCCCTTTATCATTTCCTCCTCTAAACGGTTCTGCTGCAACTGGGAAAAGCTGGGGCAACACTACAGTTCTATACACATCCTTATCTTGCCCTGTGTGACAGGCTGTTTCCTCAGGATGGTTAGCTAGTTTATTAACTCCTGGCAGGTCTCCAGGAGTAAATAAGGGTGAACGTAGTTGGGGAAAAAGCCAAGACCTTGTGCGGGACCTTTGCCCTTAAGTCAAGGAAGAAAGGGTCTCTGCCAGACAAGTGACATCAAAGTGGGGGCAGCAAGGAGACTTGACAGAGGCAGGACCTGTGGGTCCTTGAATAACTGTCCTCAAGAGGCAGAAGCCCGAGACCAAGGTTCCCCTTGGACACACAGAGTTCCCAAATCTCTTCTAAAAATCCACAAAGGGGACTTCCTCGGTGGTTCAGTGGTTAAGACTTCACCTTCCAACACAAGGAGAGTGGGTTCAATCCCTGGTCGGGGACCTGAGATCCCACATGCCTTACAGCCAAAACATAAAACAGAGGCAATATTGTAACAAATTCAATAAAGACTTTGGAAATGGTCCACATCACAAAAAGTTTAAGGAAAAAATATTCATCAAGTGTGAGAAGTGAAATTAGAAAGTCTGTTTGAGTTCTTATCCATATCAGTAATACATTTTGCAGGTACCAAAGCTTCTTACTGAAGGAAACTTTTCCATGTGGTTTTAGGAGCCCTTATTTAGATAAATCTTTCTTGTTAGATGAGCCAGAGGAAACTGTCACTTGTATCCTTCAAGAGTTGTACAAACTATTCTTGGGTTTCCCTGGTGGCTCAGATGGTAAAGAATGTGCCAGTAATGCAGGAGACCTAGGTTTGATCCCTGGGTTGGGAAGATCCCCTGGAGAAGAGAATGGCAACCCACTCTAGTATTCTTGCCTGGAGAATCCCATGGACAGATGAGCCTGATGGGCTATGGTCCATGTGGTTGCAAAGAGTTGGATACGACTGAATGACTAATACCAACACACAAACTATTCAATATAAGATTCATTACTTCAAAAAATTCACAACTTCCAAAAGAAATCACCTAAAGCCCTTTGAATTTAGGTCTCAAATTGCCTGGGCAGAAGGATCTCTACCTTCCCCAGCCCTTCTCACCCATTCGCTTGTTTCTCCTTCCTCTTCTACTCCTCCTGCCTCAGCAGCACTCATTCCCTGCCCTCTCCTGTCTGTTTTTAAATAAGCAGTTTGCATTCTACACTCACTCTCAAGCATCTCTTCTGAAACACTTCAGAATCAGAAGCAAGGTGGAGAGAAAGGGCAAGAACGGATTTTCTTCCTTATATGGTGGTACACTTGGATCCCTTAAGTTCCAGGGTCTATAGGTCTGAGCTAGGTCACTTCTCCTGAAAGTTTCTCCTGGACCTGGAAACCCTTCCTCTTCTCCCCTCACACTGGCCCACGTCAGCAGGATCCGCCCTCCACTAAGCAGGATCACTGCCCTTGCGTTCACGGCGACCTGACGTGGAGATCTCCTGGGAGGGTGAGTAGTGACAAAGGCCAGCGCCGGAGACCAGACTTCCCAGGCTGAGCCCAGGTCCGGAGTCCAGACTCTCACCTGAATGAGGAGACCGGTAGCGAAAGTCCTCTTTGGTCAGGAGTAGGAGAGCCTTGCCGTTCATCTCAAACGTGTTGCTGTCAATCGGCCTTAGAGAAAACTCGTTTTCAGCCCACTTGAGCCACTGGGCTACGTCATCTCTGCTCCAGAACATTGGCTGCAAGCCTGTTGGAGAGAGAGCAAGGCAGAAAGGAAAGAGAGAAAAAAGATCTCATCAGTTAGACAGCTGAAATAAAGGGAAAAGATTTCTGAATGGTTAACAAAACTCAGTCTCCATGTCTGAAGAGCTCTTAAGGTTCAACTCTGAATCTCAGGTAGAACTCCAGCTTCATGAGTGTCAAAGTGTGGTATCAAGTGAATTTTTTTATTTAGAGGCAAAATGTGTGTGGGGGGAGAGAATTGCTTTTCGTGTCTTTAAGGAACCATAGGTCTCCCAGCCCTGTTCTTCCTTGCCCAGCTCCAGTTCCAGGGGTATGTGGATTCCCAGTCTGTCCTGAAGGTGCAGCTCTATGGTGGCCTGAAGCACCTGTGGGGATGCAGAGTCATAATAATGTCAGTGGGCTTTGGAGGCAACTGTAGAATCACAGGGCTTCCCTGGTGGCTCAGAGGTAAAGAATCTGCCTGCAATGCAGGAGACCTGGGTTTGATCCCTGGGTCGGGAAGATCCCATGGAGTATGACATGACAACCCACTCCAGTATTCTTGCCTGGAGAATTCCATGCACAGAACTGATCTGATGGCAGCCCCGTGTCCTTTTAAAGTGAGAATGTTTCAGAGTGGGGCTGGACCTGCCAGAGATGTCCAATAATATAGTGTTCCCTGCAACTTCTTCCAGAAAGAGCAACTCACTTGTCTCGGGGACACTATCAGCCTAGCCTCTGGGAGTGAGAGGGCAAGGTAAGGATAACAGGTGCTTGTTCATGTTAGAACTGCCTGGTGGGGGTGGCACTTGCACTCTGAGTAGGACCAGGACTGGGCTGCAGAGAGGGCGGCCCCTGAGGCCAAGAGGATGGCTCAGGCTGGATCTCTGTCTGGAAGCTTGACTGTGAGTCTATGTTTTCATTTTATTCTGTGGTTGGGGAAAACCTTTGACATATCATACAAGTGGTTTAGAGAACAGTGATTCTCAAAGTGTGATCCAGGCACCCTTCCAGGTTCCCAAGACCTTCTCAGGGTGTCTAAGAAGTCAAAACTCTTTGTAACACTATGAAGAGATTATTTGTTTTTTCTGCTGTTGTTCTATCCTCAATCTTTCATTAGCATACAGTGGAATTTCCTAGCAGCTACACAGCATGTGATATTAAAGCAGACACAAGAATCCAGCCTTTTTTAAAATGAAGCCAGACATGAAAAAGACTTGCAAAATGTAAGTAAATGCCACTCTTTCCCTAATTTTTTTTTGGTATTGAAAAACATATTCATAAATACATATTTATGTTAACATATACTTGGCTTATTATTTTTCAGCAAATTAACACATATTTTGATACATATGACAACAAATAGTAAAAATTTTTGGTTTTAATTTCCAATATAGTACACATAGATAGATAAAAGCCACATGAGCAAAGCTCTTTGGGGTCTTCAATAATTTTAAAAGATTGAAAGAAATCCTGAAACGAAGTGTTTGAGAACTGATGGGTTAAAAGCCAGATGCTCAAGAGTGCTTTATTCTCTAAAATATTGTATGAACTAACAGCTCAACTAGAACAGAATCAATGTTTGCTAAGAGGAACTTCAGCCTGTTATTTACTGGTGGTTACTTAAACTTGCTAAGGGGACTCTGAGTGTGCTCTGACAGTGTCCTTTAGTCTGACCCTGGAAAGAAGGGCCTTTCACCTGTCAAACATCACAAAGAACTGGTCTATTTGGATGGGCTACTTTTCCTCCTGGGTGCATGAGGAAATGGAATAGCTCAGTGCACTTGAGAAGATCCAGGGTGTCTGGGCAGGACCAGTGGCTCTGTCTTCCAGGTGGCTCCTTTGCAAAGTCTAGTTTTGCGGGATGGCAGCTGGTTTACCTGAGCTCTGGGGGAGTCCCTCTGAAACTGGTCCACTGTGTTGGGCATGAAATAAAGAACTATGGGCACTGAAATTAGAGATGAGCTTCCCTGGTGGGTCAGATGATAGAGAATCTGCCTGCTTTACAGAAGACCCAGGTTCGATCCCTGGGTGGGAAAGATCCCTTGCAAAAGGGAATGGCTACCTGTTCCAGTATTCTTGCCTGGAGAATTCCATGGACAGAGGAGCCTGGTGGGCTACAGTCCATGGGGTCACAAAGAGTCGGACATGGCTGAGTGACTAATACAGCAACGTAGAGTTTTTTTCTTGGTTTTTAAGTTTCATAATTTTTTTTTTTCCACATGGGGAATAAAAGGGTACTGTAAAATAATACCATGCAATATGTTACCGCTCTATGATCTTTAGAATACACACAGCCACTAAAGAATTCAGGGTTTTTTTTGTTTTGGACTCTTGACTGGGCCAAGAAGCAATGCTTATGAAAAATGGTCCTTGAACATGGATGGACTTGGAGGGCCTTAGGCTAAGTGAAATAAATTGGAGGAAGACAAATAATGTATGGTATCACTTATATGTGTAATCTGAAAAATATAACAAACTAGTGAATATAACAAAAGAGAAGCAGACTCACAGGTATAGAGAAGAAACTACTAGTTACTAGTGGCAGGGGGGCAACAGGGGTGGGTGAAGTGGAGGTATGAAGGATGTACAGGCTCAAGGATGTATGGTACAACATGGGGAACTGCAGCCAATATTCGGTGATAACTGTAATCTTTAAGAACTGTATTCTTAAAAGTTTTAAAAAATGGTTCCTGGACACAGGAGGTACCCCAACTCTTTCCAATGACCTTAAAGATGCATACCTGGGACCTAGGGAGGTAGGGATGGGCATGAAAACGGCTCAGCAAGATCTCAACTTCTAAACCAGTGAAGAAACCTTAAGAGTTGGCCTCCGCAGTCAATGCTGTCACCTCTGAAGAGGAACAGCGGGGTGACTAGTTATTGGGGACTTTTCTTCTCCTTCACATGAGCAGCGAGAGCACAGCCAGCCCTTCGGGGACAAATATGAGGACCGGCCAAGCGTGGCTGAAGGAAGTGCCTGGCGGTGAGAGGACCACAGAGCAGAAGATGCTCAGTCAGAAACAGGAAAAAGGATGGGGTTGCTTATTGGAAGTGCGAGTGCCAAGGCAAATACAGAACTGAATCCCACTCGGGAGGGGAAACGAGAGTAAAATGCTGAAGTTTCTGCAGAGGAGACACGGAAACAAGAGAGGCGGGTGAGAAGGGGGTGGGGGACGCAAGTAGTAATTTGAGGTTCTTTATATTCTATGGAAGAAAATACTCATGAGTAATCTTTTCCCTAAATACAAGAAGAGTCACATACTCCAAACAGACCTGCCGGTTGAGAACAACTGTTTCTCTTTTCACTTCCCATTAATCTCTCCTTCGGCCCAGCCCCCGAAGCAAGCAAAACCATAACGCGGAAACCCCCTTGCCAGGGGACCCACTTTAAGGCTCTGGGCTTGTGGGCTCAGGGGAGCGGGTGAGTCCCAGTCAGTTCAGGAAACACCATGGCGATTCCAGCAGTTTTACAAAAGTGACCCCGACAGACCAAGCTACCTGCTGGAGGCCAGGCTACAAATCTATCAGAATCGCCACTGCTCTTCCAAGGAGAGAATGTGGACACATTCACTGAGCTAGAAAGAGGCTTGATAATAAACTCTGGTGTTCGGGACTTCCCTGGTGGTCCAGGGGTCAAGAATTCCGCCCGCCAATGCAGGGGGAAACGGGTTCAGTCCCTGGGCTGGGAAGATTCCACAGTGCCGCAGGACAACTAAGCCCATGTACAACTGCTGAAGCCCGAACGCCCTAGAGCCCATGCTCTGCAACGAGAAGCCACTGCAATGAGAGGCCCGTGCACCACGATTGGAGAGTAGCCCCTGCTCACCGCAACTAGAGAAAGGCTGTGTGCAGCAGTGAAGACCTAGCAGAGCCAAAAATAAATACATTTCAAATAAAACAGACGAACTCTGGTGTTCACAGTCAAGTCCCCCTGCTATTTATTTCCTTAAAAAGTCCTGACGTAGGATGTGCTTTGCTACTCTAATTGAGGAAAAACAAGCCCCCTTTGCTCAAACCTCCAGACCCTAAGGCCTGCGCGTTACAGCCTTGGACCCAGAGTCATCTTTTAAACATTTTGACCATGCAGCACTATTTTGAGCACTTTATAAGTATCAGTTGATTTGATTGCATGCTCACAGCAACCCTATGAGATAAGGTTTCAGGGTGAGGAAACTGAGGCCCAGTGCATTTAAGGGACCTGCCCAAAGGCATGCGACCAGTCACAAAAGGAGCTGGGATTCGAAACCAGGCCGTTTTGGTTTCCGAGTCTGTGCTCTTCCGCACCACATTCTTTGACCCACGTACTGCCCATTCAGATTAATTTTCAACATCGATCAGGGATTCAGAAAAGACTGAGTGAACTGAATCCTCCCTATTCAAGATTTTGATCCTGGGAGGTTTCTCAAGTTATCAACGAACTAAAAATAGAGCAAAAAAAAAAAAAAAATCCTGTAGATCCCTGGAGAAATACATTTATACAAGGGAAGAGTAGGAGGTGGAGGCAAGACTGCTGTTAATGCATCCAGGAAGGCTTTGCATCACCAGCTACTTGCTCACAGGCACTCGCTGCGTAGACGCTGATCTTGTGTAGACAGCTGCTAGTGTAACAGCACACAGGGCAAGACCAGGGAGGAATGCATCACATGTAACTTGTTTCACACTTATCTCTTGCAACATTAACTCAACAAAGGGACTTCCCTGATGGTCAAGTGGCTGACTCCAAGCCCCCAATGCAGGGGGCCTGGGTTTGATCCCTGGTCCAGCATGCCACAACCAAACCCCGGCAAAGCCAAATAAATAAATAAATGTTTTTAAAAAACAATAAAGTTGGAGAACATATATGTGAATGATCACTAGCGAAAAGAAAAAAGAGACCATTATTATACCGTACTTACATCACGTTGCTCCCTGTGCACATAGCAAGCCTGCGAAAGCCACCCTAAGACCTGCATTTGGAATGTCATTTAATTTCAGAGGGTAGCTGAGAATGATTTTATACAGAAGAAATGAACTTCTATGCTT